AACAAAAATTAAAAAAAAATCAATAAGAAAAACACCAATGCCCTAATAGAAACTGATCTGCTGATAATGTGTACACACATGACCTATATGACCAAAACACATGCCAAGACTCATCTTCCCTAATTACATAACAAGTACAAATTGAAACAGTCAAATATAGTTCTTACCCAACAAATTTCCTAGGTTAAGAATATTACGGATTTGGGTAAGAATGTCAAGAACTCTCGGGACCGGTAACAATAATCTCTGAGAAAAAAATTACCAGATACAGATGGAGACCTATGTTACTTAGAGAAAAATCATAAACATCCTAAATTTCCAATGGGCAAAATGGTTAAATGAGTCCTGGAACATCCAAAAAATATTTTACAGCCATTGTACAACATGCATTTAGAAAGATTTTAATGTGAAAGTATTTATGATATTCTAAGTAAAAACGGGCATTTATGTAATTATAAAAGTTAACGGCTCTTGGATGCGACGTGCCAGCACTGCTCGATTCTCTTCACACGTGTTTTCTCATTAGTTTCCTCAAAACCTCTCACAGAGGTACTATTATCAACATTATGAATATTCTCATTTCACAGATGACGGAGTTGAGGCACAAAAAGGCTAAACAGCTTGCCCAGGGTCATAACCTAATCAGTCCGATTCCAGGCTTAGTGCTGTTAAAACGTCTGCCGTATTGCACACTGTCTGTCCACCTGCTGCCCATCCATCTCTCCATCCACCCATCCATCCACGTAGTGTTTACACAAGAGGATGGGGCGAAGACAAAACAGAGACCTGTCACCAATGTGAACTAGGGCCACGTCCCCCAGGGGAGTCACACCCTCAGGCATTCAGCTGAAATTTGGCTTTAAAACCCTAGAAAGCCCTCAACTCAGATCACCCCCCATGAGGTAGAGGGAAGAGGGGATTCCTTGTTGCAAGACCACCCCGTTACCTTTGAAGGGTGTGCAGGATGGGTGGTCCGGTCACGCCGGTCCCAGCGGAAGGGGACTCAGGGGTTCACTTGAAGGGTGTATCGTGAGGCCCCTGCAGTGAGGTCTGGGGAGGGCACAGGACTCCAGGCTGACGAGGGGTGGCTGGTCAGTGGCCTTGGCAGTCAGGCAGAGGAGAGTGGCCAGCACATCCAGTCCGTCCAGGCCACATAAGGCAGGGTAGTTTCCGTGATAAAGAGCTGACACTGGGGAGAGCCCGGACTCTGCCCAGCAAGGCCCCTGGGATGGGCAGCCTGGCTCCGGAAAGAGTTATTTGCCAAAGCAAGGGGTGCATGCTAGAATCTTCCCAAGGCTGCCCTGAAGAAGCCACCAAAGGGACCGGGAGACAAAAGAGTCTGCCTGGTTCCCCAAAGCGTGAAGCCGTGCAGCAGAAACTTTCCAGCCATGTTCGCCTCCCCCCTCCCAGAGGGGCCCAACCAACGCCCAGTGATGGAGAGGGGAAAGGGGAGGGAGGAAGCCCCACATCTCATTCTCTGCTGGCAAGAAACCTCGTGGAGGACTGGGGAAAGATTCCACTCTAAACCCAGCTCAGTTTGGATGGGGCTGGACACTCTAGGTATCGGATAAACTGGGGTGAAAATGGGGCTTTGTTCCACCCTGGGATTTCTAGAAGATGCTCAGATGTTCAGTCAGAATCGAGGAAGAACCACGCAGTGAGCAGGACCCAAGGGACATGGGGAACAGAGAGGCCACGGTGGTCACTCCCCAACCCCTGCTGGCCCCACTGTGTGCCTGTGTGCACGGGCTTGGAAACGAGCCACATGTGTGGTTGCATCTCTGGACAGTGAGGCCGTAGCCGGCATTAATTTTCTTTTTTACACCCTTTTCTCCAATTCCCACATTTTCTATAAAGGCAGTGCGTTACTTTTACAATCACAGAAACAACAGTAAATGTGACTTTTGAAAAGGAAGTGCTATGGAAACCCCCTAATCCAGGTAAGAGGTCACGTGCGCGGGGACTGAGCTGAGCCACCACGTGCCCAGGGCTGCCCGGGAGCGCGAGAAACACCCCGCATCTGCACAGGAACTCGGTGTGGAGTCTGGACTCCGCTCCACTCCCAGGGGACGGGTCAGGAAATGAGAATTGGGGATTTCGTTGTTTCTCTTGTAAACATGCTCTGGGGTCACATCCTTTTCCCCTTCCTCTCCCTCCTCCGTTTAGTCACACAGTTGGCAGCACAGGGTCTGTTCCCAACACCAGCGCCACCCAATGGGCTCATTCTTTGGGCAAATTCCGGGCGAGACCTGAGAGTGAGGACCTCAGTGTCTCGGGGATGGATTCTAAGGGAAGTCTGAAGATGGAAAATGTGAAACAAGTGCCCATTGTCACACACTGGAGGCTCTCCTCTTTTGATCTCTCTGGAATACCCCTTGATGGGACTGCCCCGAGGGGAAACCACTTGTAAGAAAATGGAAAAGAGGCTTTGAAAAAGAGCCTTTGATTTCTTAAAAGAAGGAAATAGGGATCACACAGAGCCCAGACATGCCAAGCCAAAGTCACCCCGCTTCCATCTGATAAGGCGGCCAGATGAGGAAAACGCCGGTACCGGGGTAGCCAGGACCCAGCCAAGTCCTTGAGGAAGCGTCCCAGTACGCGGGGTGACGCAACGGCAGAGCATGGGCCGAATGATAAGGCAGCGGGGGAATTCCTGGCTGGTTGGAAACCTTCCCCAGAGACACCCAGCCAGCTCCAGCCTGTGCCGAACGCCTCGCACGTGTCCAGACTGCCTTTGATTTACTGAGTGACGGATAGCAGACATGCTAATCAAACGTGCGAGGTCAGCAGGCTGAAAAGAGTCTAGACGGTGCTCCAGGTCCATACACAGAAGCCGGACCACAGGGAACAGCCACCCTTGGTTCCAGCAGTCACCTGCATAGTGACAACAATCTGATAACCAGGACATCAGTATTTGGTATTTGCGTGGAGCAGGTCACAGTTTGCAAAGCAGGTTTGGGAGGGCTGGCTTCACTATAATGCGTGTGAAAAAACACTTCAGGGTTTTTTTTTAAACCATCACTTTTTATTTAAAAAATTTTTTTGTCTATTTTTAAAATTTTAAAATTATTTTTGTTGGGTTTTTGGGGGGTAGGGTGGGGTAATTATGTGTATTTATTTATTTATTGAACCCAGGACCTTGTGCACACTAAACACATACTCTACCACTGAGCTATACCCTACCCCCACAACGTAAGGGTTATTTTTGTTGACTGCAAGCTTCAGATGAAACCAGCAGAGTGACGTGGAAGGAGAAAAGCAGCCCCCCAAATTACAAAATAAAAATAAGAGCCCCGTCCTCTGAGCACTCCTGAAACAGCGGGTCGTACTCCCTGGGGAACCGGTTACCCTCTGAGAGAAACACCAATCTATTGAGATCATAAAGAAACAAGTGGGCGGGAAAGTAAAAACTGGGGAGCCAGGAGTACTCAGTGGAGAAGGGGAGACAGGGAGGTGTAAATGATTGTTTCAAATATTTCAGCAGCTGCCATACTGGAAGATTCTTCTACATATTTTATGATCATCAAAAGTGCAGCGTTTTCACCAATGACTGTGTTTCAGGGACGAGGATTTTGGCTGGGGGAACGGGTCTAAAAAATGTCAGTGTTTTGGAAACCTCATTGGAAGCACAGAATGGCTGCTGGCAGGGCAGCGAGGAGCAATCACTTTGGGGAACTACCTGGCCTCTCCCCAGACGTCACGGTCACACCCGCCGTCAGCCAGCAAGTTCTCTCGGACAGACCCCCCCAGTAGAACATCTCCGACGTGCACAATAGGAGGGACATGCATGGACATTCACAACTGCAAAATCTGGAAACACCCCAAATGCTCACCAGTGGGAGAGTGCATGAGTATACCATGAAGCAGTTCACGGCAGTCGAATGAATGTAAATAAATCTCAATGTAATAGCAAGAGGAAAAAAATCCCTGAGGATGGCAAATAACATGATACTCCTTTTCAAAAAATTAAGCCACAAAAATTAATAATACGCTTTTTAAAAGAAATACATGAATATGAAAAAAGTCAGAGAAAGCCAAATACATTATGATCTCACTTGTGGAATCTAAAAACAGCAAGAAGAACAAAACCAAACAAAAACAAAAACGCCAAACTCAGCGACGCAGGGAACAGATTGATGGTTGCCAGAGGCAGGGGGTGGTGGCAGGTGAGGGTAGGCCAGATGGGTGAGGGCGGTCAAAAGTTGAAAAAAAAAAAGACATAAATGCACTAAAGCTCTTTTCAAAAAGGCAAGATCACGATGAGGGGTTGATGACTCCCACAGTGAGGAGGGCAGGGAGATGGAATGGGGCACTGGTGACATGGCTCCCACACGGCGGCAGGTTCACAGATGTTTGTCACGTTGACAAAAAGAACAGATAACCAGAGGGAATCAGGGAATGATGACAGCGTGACAGGAACCAACTTGCTTCTATCCACTGAGGACCACTGAGAACGAGGGAGCAGGAAGGAAAAGAAGAAGGAAAGAAGGTGTGGGAAGTTGAATCAGCATCTCTGCAGCCTGGTGAGCAGGCTCCTTGTCCCTGGACCATTTCAGCCCAAGCCAGGTGGCAGCCCCAAGGGGTCCGATCTTGCAGGCTGTGAGCTGCACCAGGCCTGCGAGGAGTCAGGTGGAGTTTGAGATTTACAAATGTTTGCCACTATATATAAAAATAGATTTTAAAAAAAGTTTCTTCTGTTATAGCACAGGGAATGATGTTCAATATCTTATAATAAACTTTAATGAAAAAATTATGAAAATGAATATATGTATGTATAAGCATGACTGGGACATTGTGCTGTACACCAGAAATTGACACATTGTAACCGACTGTACTTCAATTAAAAAAAATTCTCCCTTTAACTTGTTTTGAGTAGATGCCTGTCTATTCCTGAAAACTCAACTGAAAAGAAATATGATGCAATATATGGTTGAAAGTTATTATTGTTAATTTAATAACAATTAGGTCCCTTGAGTCTATTAATTCTTTTCATCAACAAATCTTATTGGCTCTGGCTTCCAAATTCAACCAGAATTTGACTCCTCCTCCCAACAGCCCCTGCTAAATCCCTGTCTAATCGTTGCACACTTGGGCTCCTCCCACCTCCCTGAGTTGACCCCCTGGTTGTCTCTCCCTGATCTCCCCACTCCAGCCATTGCAGCCTCCTTGTTGCTTGGGTGCTCACCTGCCTCAGGGCCTTTGCACTGGCTCTGCCTACACTGCTCATTGCTCACATATCCACATACTCACTGCCTTACCTGTTCGAAGTCTAGACTCATGTTACTTCTCAGGAAGGCCTTCCCTGTTTGCCTTCCCTCCAATTGCAAGTCTTTCCCTAATACACACACACACACACCCCACATGCACACACCTTCTTTCCTCTTCCTGCTCTATACCTCTAATATACTACATACGTTATCTTTTATCTGTCTCCCTCAACTATAATATAGTAAGTGAATATAATAAGTGTAGTAAAGGCAGGAATTTTTCTCTGTTCCGTTCATTGCTGTACTCTCAGCATCTGAAACAGTGCTGGCACACAGCAGCTGCTCCATAAATCTCTGTTGAACGTGGAGGGTCTCAGATAGGCCATCCTTGTGCTAGTGCGTGCTGTATATCGTATGGAGCTCTTACCCTCCAGAGGAAACCTCAGAGCCCAGGAGTTCTCTAGGTACCACCAGATTGTGGGGAGGACCAGCTGACACCACAAAGTGGCTCTCAGAGCTTGCACAGTGCTGAGCTGTGGCATTTCTACACAAGGAATAATGGCCCAACCTTGCTGAGCATCTGGAGTACCTGGGGCTGCCAAGGATGCATTCTCTTAGACAGAAGCAACCCCACTCCATACCCATCCTGGCCCCTCACTATGACGTGTGGACAAAGGATGGAATGGCTTTCCAATGGAGACAAAAACGATGCTAGCCATCTGGTTGGTTCCCAGAGGGAAGCCAATTATACCCAGTGAACCCACTAGGCCCCAGTAAATCCCAGCATTTCCTCATCATTTCACCTGCATATTTTTTTTTGACTCAGAGAACACTGCATTTTGAGATTCACAGGCCTACCTTTCCGAACATGGCAGGGTTGACTTGGTTCTGAGCATCCTGCCCGTAGGTCTCCACGTACATCTCGTACATGAGGCAGCGAGGCACACTGCACCCTTCGCAGACGCAGAAATTGTCCACCAACCTGCGGGTGAGGAAGACCAGGAAGAGGAGACTGGCATCGGGTTTTCTAGAGCCCGGATAAGGATCAGCGGCCGGACACAAGTGTGGGAGCCAGCGAAACGAATTGTATTTGATTTACCAGATGCGAAAGCCCACCCCTCAGTATCCAAAAGGCACCCTTTTGCGCGCAGCCCACGGTTAAGTGCACCAACTGTGCGCCTTCACTGGATCACCACAGTGGGTCTGCGGTGGCTGTTTTACATATTTTTGGCATGTGGACATGTTGAAAAGAAGACCTAATTACTGAACTCAGTGGACACTATTTCATGTAACTTCATAAAGGTTGCAGCCGAGATCTCTGTACCTGTGAAGCAGAGAATGATTTACCTGCTGAGACACAAAACATTACCTCCCCCACACTCATAGGGCCAATCCCCCTGCAGGTGACTGCTGGGGCCAGCACGGCTCCCCAGTGTCTGTGCACCTGTGACCCGAGACAGGTACACACAGCGCCTCCCACCCCCTGAAGCAGTCGTCTGCATGTTTTTTAAACCCGAGTGATTTAGGGTGGGCCACTATATTTTGATTCTTTTTTTTTATATAGTTTATTTTATTTTTTATTTTTACTTTTTAGACTTTCTTTGGTGGGGGGTAATTTGATTGATTGATTGATTTTACAGAGCCCAGTAGCGTTCAGATGTGACCCGCAGCACCAGGCCTCTGCTCAAGGCGGGAGCTTCAACTGCCCCAAATGCTCCTGGGCCCTAGGGCAGGTGGGGTCCCCTGGCCACAGGGGGTCTACTGTGGCCCACAGTCGGGCCCAGAGGGCACAGCCGGGTGCCTGTTCCAGCAACAGGTATGGGAATGAGTGGGGCAAGGAGTGAGGGTGGCTGGTGTCTGAAGTGGCATCCCATCACAGCCTTTCCTTAACTTGCTGGGGACAGACTGGCAGGTTTCTCCTCATCCTTTAAAAAAGCAAGCCAGCCTAATTTTTAAACACAGCACTTTTTTAGCAGGGAATTTAGCAACAACACACCTCCCTTCTTACTGAGGACATAGAATGTATTTTCTGGGATGAGGCATGCCGAGGCCTAAAGTTCCTTTCCTTCAGAGTTGAGGGCCACACTGTTAACCCCGTCTGCCTCCCAGAAGGAGGAAAAGCCAACATATGGGGGGCGGGGGGAGTCTTGGGCCCTGTATTGGTTTCCTCAGGTAACAAATGACCATAGGCCAGGTGGCTTAAAACAACAGGAATGTATTCTGTCACAGTTCTGGAAGCTGAAAGTCCAAAATCAAGGTGTCCGTTGGGTTGATTCCTTCCAGAGGTCCTGAGGGAGCACCTCTTCCATGATTTCCTCCTCGCTTCTGGCGACTGCCAGAAACTTTGGGCTCCTGCACACATCACTCAAGTCTGCCTCTGCCTTCACCTGCTGTCTCCTCTCCCAGGGGACTCGCCTCTTCTTACAAAGATGCCCATGATTTGATTTAGGGCCCACCCCAATCCTGGGGGATCTCCTCTTAACTGGTTACATCTGTGAAGACCCTATTTCCAAACAAGGTCACATTCTGAGGTTCCAGATGGACATGTGTTTTGGGGAGTCGGGCACCATTCAACCCAGTCTGGGTCCAAGGAGGGGACTTTCTGAAGGTCTCCCACAACATCAGGGTGGAAACCTGGCACTCTGGATACATCACAATGCCTTAATTATAGCCACTGTGGGGCCAATTACGTGGCTCAAGGTTGAATACGGGGTGATGTCACTGGTGGCATGGGGGAATGGCAAATTCGCACACCTAGATGACATTTATATTTCTTTTGGTAAGATGCCACTTGCTGATATATGCAAAACCTATACCTGAAGAATCAGAAAAATGCTGGTTCACTTGGGGAGCTGCAGGGAAGTGTGACTGACATCAAGTTCAAACTCACTTTGGTTTATTCAGAGCTAGGACTGATAGAGTCACGGAACCACCTCCTTAAAAAATAAATGTATAAAGTAAAAGTAATCAATCACTCCTGAAAAAGAACTCTTTTAAACTTTTGCAAGTTGTTCTTCCTTGTCACTGAAATTCATTTGCTCCGAGTCTCTTTTGTCCTATTTCAGAATGACATTGCAGAGTCTGATTGCCGTCTGGGTGGACGGCTAAGGCCAAATACACTATCAGTAATGTACCAATAAAGGTCCACGGCCCGAGTCTTTTCTCTGCACACACGGGGGAGGGGCTGCCTCCTGGTTCTGAGCCCTGTACTGCTGCTTGGTGACTCTGCTGCGGTTCCAAGGGATTCACCCTAGTTCTGACCATGTCCCTTTGGTCTTTCCCCCAAAGTTCAAAGCCAGATCTCAGGGACGGCCTGTGGGAGGAGCCAGCACACATCTACTGGAAGAGTGGCAGGTGGAGGGGCTCTCCTTAGTCCTGTACACTCCAGGTACCGCCACCTTTGGCTACTATGCATCATGCCACTCTGCATATGGGGGTAGCAGTACCTGCTCAAGTCTCTGCTCTCAGTTCTCTGGAGTGCATGCCCAGAAGGGGAACCTCTGGATCATACAGCAATTTTCTGTTTTCAATCTGTTGAGGAATCGCCATACTATTTTCCAAGGTGGCTGCACCAGTTTACATTCCCAGTAACAGTGCATGTGGGTTCTAACTGCTTCACACCCTCACCAATATTTATTATTTTCCACTTCGCTTGTTTGATAATGGCCACCCCAGTGAGTGACAAGCGGTCTGGGCTGCATTTTTAATGCCAGTGTCAAAACCCCCTTGCAACTCAGATAGGCTGGGACCTGGGACCCTTTACTGCAGTGCTGGCACCTGGACAAACGTCTCTTTGACCAACAGAACACAGAGAAACTATAAGGGACTAAAAATAATGGCACGGATGCACAGTTGGGGCAAATTGTGAACCATAAGATACAAAAAGGCCAAAACCCAACTGCCACTTCTGAGGCGCCCCGAGTAAAATCAGGGAACTGGGCGTGACCCCTGCACACAGCACCACCAAGGGGGTGGGTGGCCCACCTAAGCCACACCCCCACCCATGGATCTGCCCTCACCCTCACCCCGTTTAAGGAATCAGCTCACCCCCTCCGGGAGCGAGCAAGAGCACCTGTCACTTGCTTCCAATCCCCTCAATAAACCCATGGGTGAATTTCTCATCTGGCCTGTTAATCAATTTCTATTATTGAACTTTGGGTAGGTAGCACAAGGATCTGTTGAGCACTGCACCTCCTAGACTGGATGCCTACAGAGTGAGTCCTCCAGGGGAAACTCTGTCCCAGCTCTGTCATTGCCCCCCCCCTCCCCAAACCTGAAGAGCATGACACCCCCCCACTACCTGGGTCAGAGGACTGCACGGATAGGAATTTGACGCACAGGACTTGAACACTATCCTAAGAGACCTAGGGCACCTGCATCCTGTCAGTTCACAAATAACCCGAGGAGAATGTCCAGGTGGTTTTTTGAATCGATAAATATTCTTCCAAGGCTCTGGACTTTTTCATACCCTAGAAGCTCTAACTTCCTAAACAGTTGTCCGGAAGGTAACAGTGGCATCTTGCGCCCTTGCACTGATACCTAAGGGGTCTGGGTTAGTGCGAAGGAATGAGAGCCCTGCTGTGTAACACTCCACGCGATGTGTGCCCTTCAATGTTTATTCTTTTGATTTTTTTCCCTCTTACTTTCTCTTGGAGGAAAGCGGTGACCATGTAGGACGTTTGGGGTTATAATCACAAACACACCTTTCATTTTTCTAATTCACTCATACAACTTTGTCAGAGAGTCTTTCCTGAGAAATATTCCTTAAAACTTAAAAAAAAAAAAGGTAATCAGGTATCTACTAGTTATTCATCTTATAAAATGAAGGTTTTAGGACTGGTTTCAATTATCTTCCTATTTACGAAGAGCTACAAGCCCATGAGTTCATCAGTCCCAAGGGCTAAGGGTATTTTTCTTTCCCGTTGTTTCTTCCTCTATTTAAATGGCCAGAAGCGAATTTCACAAACAATGTGGAATGCATTGTTGGAGCTAAAAACGGCTCTGCTTTAAGTGGGGAAACATCTATTCTGGATGAAGCACAGAGAAAACATTTCCTCCCCTGGCGGACGCCCCGCGTGCTTCCACACACAGTCGTAAGCGCCCGTCCCAACAAGCCCCCCGGTGCGGGGCAGGCTGGATTGCTTCCCACGGGAAGTGGGGCCCACAGGCGACCCCCAGGTGGGAAACCCACCCTGCTCCATCGCGTGTGAGCGTGTGTGTGTCCGGTCCCATCCCAACCAGCACGAAAAGGCGCCAGTCCTGCGGGAGAACAGCTGTCCCTCAGGCCTCTTCTCAG